GTGCTCTGTGGGGTTTGCAGGCTCTTCTCCCTATGCGATGGATGGAAAAGCCTTGCATGGGCTGCTTTGCCAAAACCATGGTGGAAAAGGCAAACTGACACACTGTAAGTAATAGGACTTAATGCCTGTCTGTAAAGACTGATTACCTGAATGATGTATTTAGTATTTATATATAGCATTTACAAGTTTATCTGAGGGATTGTCTAGCTAGTATGCATGTAAGACTGTGTGAGGAGCTTCTTACATTGCTCGAAAGGACTGAGAGATGCAGCAGATGTTGGCGTTTCCCTGCCGCAGTCTCGTCCTGCGAGGGAAGCGCTTTGCAGCACAAGTCAGGGCTTCGTCCTGCGACGGAAGCACTTTGCAGCACAAGTCAGGGCTTCGTCCTGCGACGGAAGCACTTTGCAGCACAAGTCAGGGCTTCGTCCTGCGACGGAAGCACTTTGCAGCACAAGTCAGGGCTTCGTCCTGCGACGGAAGCACTTTGCAGCACAAGTCAGGGCTTCGTCCTGCGACGGAAGCACTTTGCAGCACAAGTCAGGGCTTCGTCCTGCGAGGGAAGTGCTTTGCAGCACAGGTCTGCGTTGCTGCTGCCCCCAGTTAGCCCTAAAGAATTACATGGCTCTTTTTTCCTTAAAAGCATTAAAGCGACAGGCGCTGGTATCAGCAGAGCATGTGTACCCCAACTCGTAGAGACGAGCACATTGGTTCCAGCACAAGAAGGTCTGTTTTTAATGATGTTAGGGCTCAAATGTTAATTATCTCTAACACGCAGAAACCATTTTTCTTTGTCACTTGTAATCTCTCACATATTCCTATAGTTGACAGATCTTTGTATTTCAGTGGAAAAAAATATTGTCTCAAATATCTTAACCTAGTGCTTATGCTGTGTGGTACATTAATAACATAAATAGTTTCCTTTCTTCCATTTTTTCATTGCATCCACTGCAAACATTGAGATTATTTAGATTTATATGGCTGGGTTTGACAGGTTTTTTTTATATTTACATTGCCTGCAAGAGATAAATCAACTTCGGGCCTTTGTCTTCAAGCCTTAGTGATTTACCACATAAATAGCTGTGGAAACGACTTGGATAGAGTGATGTTACAACTGTGCTTCAAGTGCATGACTTTGATTTTCCTGTGTTTCGGTTTTAGGGCACACAGGGAAAGAAGCTGTATATGTGATCGTAGAGCTTTGCTGGGGGAAGCCAGCCGTGGTAGGAAGGACCTTTTCTTTCTCGCTGTGTGTCTCGAGCACAGCCGGCCCTCAGCGGTGCTGGGCAGAGCGACGGGGCCGGCGGCTGGAGCTCCGAGCCTGGCCGCGCTGCCGAGCTGGGGAGCCCTCCTGCGGCGGGGGCTCCTGGCGCCCCGCGCTGTGGGTACCCGTGTCGTGGGCACCCTGCGAGCTCTGACAGCTCCGCCGTGTCTAGCAAATTCCTTGGAGGATCTGATTGTCTGTAGCTCATCTCAAAGCTCTCATAGTGTGTGGATCTTTGTTACTCAGCGTCCCATCTCCCACGTGGATGTGTACGACTTGGCGTTTTGTGAGGGCGGGTGTGATCCTACACCCTGTGGTAAAGAAGAAATGAGTTCGTGACCAAATACCTGAACTTCTGCTTTTTTTCTTGTCCATACCCCGGGCACATATATGAGATCCTATAGAGCTACAAGGTACGAATGAGGGCAGTTTGTGATGCCTCTTAGAGGTAAGAACTTGAATGTTTCAGCAAGAGAGCTAGGATCTAATCCACTAGTCGCTACCTATAAAAAGTATCCAACTGTATGCAGGTACTCCTGGCCTTGTACTCAGCCCTTTCAGGTAAATAAACTTCAGAAATTTTAATATGGGACCAGGCAATTAATTTGGAAATACAAATTGTAAGGAAGATGAACCACAGCATTGCAGCCTGGTTGATAATATTAACTTTCCCTTGTTTTCAAATTGGTCCAGTGTTAATATTAGTTAGTCCTCTGGCACTGTAGTTGTATTGGATATTGCCTACTGAGAAGCATTGCCTACTGAGAATTGCCTACTGAGAAGCATTTAGTTTTTTTAGTTTAAATGTGCTCTTAGGAATAATTATGCAAAAGGTTGGGAAAATAATTGTCATAGCATCATGTTCTCCATCACCTAAACAGGTATCTGATAAAGACTGAGTTCTTTCCTTTCCACATTTTGTCAATTGAATGTCTAGCAAATTGCTAATCTATTTGATGAAGGGCAATACTTGGTAAATGTGCTGTGTTTCATCAATATCTTCTTTTAAAAATAAATTTGTGATGTGTACTGGTATGGGAGCTGTCCTATAAAAGCTGGTCAATATTGCTGCAGAAAGTAAGTCCCCGTTTGAGCAGTTTTGGCTGGTGGAGCACATGTGCAGGAGGCTCCAGCTTCTGTGACTGAATGATTATGAAGAAATATAGTTGCTGCCTGGCTCTGAAGGGCTCTGCTGCTACAGACAGTAATGTATATGAAATAGTTACACTACTTCAGAAATGCCAGCCCATGGGAATGAATACTCATTGCAAGTATTTGGCACGTGGCCTAGTTTTCAAGCCGTACTAGCCTCCTCTTTTTGGTCTCTTCATACATCTCTTACATCAGAGTTGGACCTTTTGAGATATGTTTTTTTCCAGGGAAGTTCAGTGTCACCCCAGTCCTGAATAAATTCATGATTCAAATGTCTACATCTTATTGACAAAAAATGAGTAAATAATGAGGAAAGTGAAAATTTAAGACTGCAATAGATGTTTGAGATGAAACTTAGCTTTTTTTGTTTGCATTTTAGATTTTGTAGTTTTAGGATACTGTTGGGGACATTAGGGAGATGATGGCTTAGGACAAGGATTTGGAACAGTACAGCTGCTTGTTTAATCAGTAATGTACTGGGAAAAGATCTCCTCTTCAAAATGTTCTTTATTTGCTGTTCCTTTTTTCTTTTTTGCTCTGTGGTTTGAGCCTGGAGCTGGTTTGTTTGGTTTGACTTGTAAGCTGTCTTTGCAGTTGTGCATGCACGAGCCCATGTGCACACATCATAAGGGCACTCACATGATCGCAGTGTCCTGGCAGCTTAAAGACATTGTTTGGGTTCCCAAACACAGTGCAAGAGGGACAAGACTGCACCTGGGTGAAGCACCGTAACGAGGGCTCTGTTCAGCGTGTGTCCCTGCGTGCGTGTGGGCTGTGAGCTTGTTTCCCCTTCCTTCCCGGTCCCCGGAAGGGTAAAACAAATATCACCAGGAAGGAAACCTCAGTGATGCGTTTCCAGTTGCGACTTGAACTATTTACAGCAATAGCTCAGTTGGGTTGTAACAGTGCATGGAAATTTTAAATTACAGTTTTTGTTTTGAGAATTTAGTGCTCATTTTCTGGAAAAAGCTGGATGCCTCAGAGTTCCTAATGGTACAGTAGTGGGGGAAAAATGGAAATAAAATTGCATCTAAATAAAGTTTCCCACAGATTGCTGAAGTACACAGACTTTCATTAAATTATGGCATTTATTTACTGTCTTCAGGATTTTGGGGAGCATGGCAGGTGAATTGCTCTTCCTCTGGAAAAGGCAGAAGGTAAATGCCTAGGTGAAAGTGTGAGGGTTTTTTGGGAGACTCCCTCTAACAGCCTCTCATCTTTTGGATTAAAAAAAAAATCAGGAATTCAACTTTCCTTTTTAAGAAAAGGGTTTTTGTGTGTATGTAGAGTAAGTTCTATCTGGAATGTAAGGACTGAGAGTTGAGGGCATGGGACAAAGCGGGCCCTGAAAGATTTGCTGCAAAGTGAGTTTGAGTGTCTTCAAAATCAGGCGTGAATTCACCCTTGGGAAACCTCCCTCTAAATGTGAATCTCTTGCTTAGGCTAAATAAGCAGGCAGAGGGGAGGACTCAGGAGATGCCTCCCTTGGGCTGCTGAAGTGGGCGTCCTTGGACCAGCGAGCTGACCCTGCGACTGTCTTGGCTGAGGCAGATGATGTTAGAGGGGTGTTACAGAGCTTTTCTTATGCTTTTCAATATCATTTCTACTGTTTAACTGACAGTGTATTCTCAGTCAACATGTCACAAAATTATGTGAAAACAAACTAAACACAAACAAAAACCTACACAGTATTTGAGGACATAATCATAAGAGGAAACTAGAATGTCCTTTGCTTTTATTTGTGACATGGAGTGAGTTGGTGCGTAAGGCATTTCCACCTGCAGAAAGTGCAGGGACATCTGGAACCCCCAAGTATGGGAGAATACAGGGGCCTTTCCTTCTGGGAACGTCTGTAAGTATCCATCATCCCAAGATGCTTGTTCAGGAGGTGGTGGGAGGAGACGGGCTGCTACATCACTAGGACTGAGATCAGGATATCTATTGTAGATCAGCCCACAAAGACAAGCACTTACTGGAGGCATCCTTACTTTTAAATATGTCTTTTATGCTAAAAGTTTACGTGGGAGTAAGTTGAATGGCCAAGCATTTAGCTGTGTATTTCTGTAGTGACCATGAATATAAGCATTTATATATGCAACCTGCTTAACTAAACCCAATTTAACTAAAGATATCTTTTTAAAACAGTTTGACAGAAGAGATGCATATAGGTAATTTTACAGCATAATCCTCTTTTGCTTAAGATGACTCTTCACTAGTATGATTACTTTATTGACAATGTTGGTTCCAGAGAACAGCTCCAGAGGAGAAAGTCTGGCAAGAGTGTTCTAGCCTAGGAGCATGGTTTTAAAAAATGGACACCTGAGCTCAGCCTCCCTTCTCAGAGTCAGAAAAGTTCAGGATGATAAATAAAGTAATGGTGAAAAACTCCATTTCTTCTCCGCAGAAGCCAGAAGATGTTGAACTTGCAAATGATTAACAGTTTTTTATTATGTTATCACTTCAAAATCAGTTCTGAATTGTGCAAAGTATCATGGAAAAAGTGCACGATTACTTCTCTTATTGGAACTGGAAAGCACAGTGTGATGTTTTCTTGCCTTTTTTTTTTTTTTTTTTCTTTCCCTCTCAGGTCCGCACCAGTGTCCTACCTGATCATAAGGAGCCGAGAGCAGATGTTGGGGTAAGCAATTTATTTCATTAATTTCACCTCCTCAGCAGATACAGACACCCAACAAAGAGAAATGGCAATTTGTCCAACTGCTAAACAGTCAGGAGCTGACAGGCATTTTCCTTAATAGCTGAAGCTGTGTTAAATGAATAAAGAATCATGGCAGGAGTAATAGTTTCAGTGATGGATAGCATCCTATCAACTTAGTTCTTGAAAATTGTTTCTTTTCAACTAAGATTATCCCAAGGCAGTCACAGCCATTGAGACTTGCTGCTACTGGCATGCCCAAAATTGGGATTGGGATCACATTGCCTTGCTGTGCCTGGCCTGCTTTCAGGGATTCACGTGCAGTTCTGAGTGGGTTCTGATGAAGAAAGTATGGTGGGGTATATCAAAGACCCATTTTTTCCTGTATAGGTATTAAAATTGGATTGTATAGGAATTGGGATGTTGTTTCTGGAAAGGGTAGAACCTCCCAGATTAATATGGATGCCTTCTAGAGGTGGGAAAGGTTGGTCCTCCTCGAAAGGTATCAAAGCCTCCAGGCTACACTTGGGCTGCTGAATTCTGAGTTCTCTGAGTTTCAACAACTCTATAGGTTGCTTCTGAGTCAGAGGTCAAAATGTGGGAAAATACCGAAGACTTTGGAACTGGAGCTTCTGTAGTTTGCAGATAGAGGTTCTTTTTGAAGTAGAAGAATCACTTTGATGGGTCTGAAGGCGCAGTGACCTGCCATTACATGGCCTGATTGTGGCTACAAAAGAAAAAAAAAAAAAAATGTCCTGGGTGGGCAGCAGACCCAGTGACTGCAAACATGAAAAATAATTGGACTTAAAATTTTTAATCCCAAGTAGTGGCTTTCCTGCATTACTAGGACTTCCTTGGCATTGGCATGGTTTCCAGCACTCCAGCTCTAGCGTTTGAAAAATCTGTAGCTTGGCAGTAAGTTAAATCTTAGCGAAATAATCAATGTATTTCAAACTTCTCGTCTAGCTATTGAAGAACCTTTTCTTTGGCTAGTTAAGATTATTTATCAAAAAATTCAAGGCTCTCACATCTTCAGATTTATAATCCGAAATACTCCACTAGCAAAATTAGAGAAATCTGCTTGGTAATTAGTACTACGCCAGCAGTTCTGTTAAAGTCTAATTTTGAGGCCTCCGAATCTCATGTGCCAAATTAGATGGGTTTGTAGGCTGCCAGCTCAAGCCCCAGGGTTAGAGTACTTGTATATGAATCAGTTGAGGAAAAACTAATCTCTGGCACTATTCCAGTTTACATCCCTCAAAAGTTAGTTTAACTCTCTTCATTTCTTCATTTTGGCTGTGGGATTAGTCACAATTTTGTTAAATTTGGCAGATGATTTCTAGTTCTATTATTGTTAGGCATATGCAACCTTATTCCAAGTAAGCTTCAGAATATGAAGCAGGCAAATAAGTTTATTTCTTTAAACCTATAAAACTATATAACTTTAATCTTGTGACACTGGAGAAATAGGTCCAATGCTCAGAGGTGGTTAGTGGGTGCAGTGACCAAAGCTGCTCTGTGAAAGGATGGTGCTATTGCTGCCCACAGTCATAGTGTGAAGAACTGCCCCTCTTGGTGTACTCTTAAATTGATTTGTAGTTCTGTTACTGCAAGTGGGAGCCCTGAGGGACCAAGTGATGTTAGTTTTGCTTGACATATCTCTTTCCCCTTTCCAAATGAGGAGGTGAGGTTGCAAATACAAGCAGTGAAATGCCATGAAATACCAGAGTAAAGGCTACTAGAACACAGGTTGTCCTGCAGAGTGTATTCTCACGACTTAGAGGGGTGTAATCTTGCAACAAGGTAGCTAACATGTTAGCTATGTCAGAATATGGCCTTAGTGAAACCAAGGCTGGTGTATAAGAGGATGGACTATCTGCCTGTTTTTTCTAGTGAGGCTGTATGATAGCCTGAGTCCTGCTGGGTGGTGGTGTTGTAAACGCGTGTGTCATTTTGGCAGCAAAAACTAACCACGGTCTCTAACCTGGATTGTGCCTTGAACCATATGTTTGATAGGCTAAAAAGCTATCATAGTGTAGAGCTCTACTGTCAGCATTTGATAGCTGGGTAGCCTTTGCTGAAGGCCATGATGCTCATGCTCTAGCAATAGACCCTGTTTCCTTTCCTTTCCTTTCCCTTTCCTTTCCCTTTCCTTTCCTTTCCCTTTCCCTTCCCTTTCCTTTCCCTTTCCTTTCCCTTTCCTTTCCCTTTCCTTTCCCTTTCCTTTCCCTTTCCTTTCCCTTTCCTTTCCCTTTCCTTTCCCTTTCCTTTCCTCAAAGGTAGTGCTTGCTGTCTGCATGTGCTCTTCAGTGATTCAGAGTAAAAAAAAACTTTATGGTTCTTGAATTAAGGCATCCAACAATATAGAGAATTTATCATTGAACTTTGTTTTGATTAGCATTCCAACAGCACAGGGAAATAAGTATGCTAAACGCTCATTTTTGTGTTTTTTAAAATATATCTTTTCAGCTTATTGTAATTGACTCACAGAAAGTCATACATTGAAAGATAAATGTGTAGATGACTGCAGACTTTCTTCTTTGCCACTGTTCTCAGGGTAGGAAGAATATTGTTAACAAGTGAGATTTCATCAATATGCGGTAGGGGTATGGATAGACTTGGGTGGAAAATGATCTAAAGCAAAAAGATGAATGTGTTTTTCCTCTTTGCAGTCTCTTCTTGAAGATGCATGAACCTGATTTTGATATAAGGAAAAGATATATTGTTGGAGGTTAACTTAGACTTTGCAATTCTAGTTGGATTTGCACATTTCTCAGTATTTGTACTGCTGTGAGTGGGTTTCACCTTACAACAGAGAAAAAGGAACAATGCTTAACGAGCAGTGCTGTAATCTAGAAGAATATAACATTTTTATTAACTTGTACTGAGCTCAACATTAAAAAAAAAAAAAAAAGACTTCCTCAAGCAAGTATATTCTTATTTGGAATACAAAACTGGTAGTGTCTTAGGGCTTGAGGAATAACTATGGCACAAATAGCATTGGTAAAACACTGAAGGTTTAACATTTCTTGTAATACAGAAATGACTTAGTAAAGAAGATGACCCCAAATACAAATGCTTATACTAAATGAAAATTTCCTGCAGCTGTACCTTTTGCAGCCTACTATTTGTCAGGCTGTTTAAGTTTGACAAATTACTCGTAATTGTCACATGTACAAAAACTTTCTGTAGGGTAGTCTGTCAAAACAGAATATTGCAATGTAATATTTTGCTAGCTACCTAAGAAAGCTTTCTACGCATGGGACTGAAAAAAACTCAAAACTTCAAAAACTAATGGAGATGGCTTTTCTCTCCACTTTGTTTCATAGCGAAGCTTCCTGGGATGTGCAACTTTTAGAGTGGGGGACTTGGTGAAGTCAAAGGAGCAACAGTTGACCCTAACCTTGAGGTAAGTTTTTTTCATGTATGTGAACTGTTTCAAATGAATAATTTTTGACACTTGATGGTTGCTGTTTCACTGTGTCTGAAACTCCAAATTGCTTGAAATATATTGGATGCCACTCTCGAGTGTTTCTGTTTCTCTGATGCAAAAAGATGAAATGAAATACCAGCTATTTAAGCTTGAGCTTGCCTTGTGTCGTATTAGAAGTTTCTTTCATATGATGCCCTATGGAAGAATTGCAAGTAACTTGAATTAGAGAAGATTTTTTGAAGTTTCTTCTAGAAAAGAGTGTCTCAAATTTTTGACAGGTGGTGTTGGAAGAATTTAAATAGTAATACTGTACAGCTTGCTAGTTCAGCTTCTAGATGCTCTTGAAGATGGTGGGCAGAATGAGCGAAGGCTTCTCATGTCAGGTCGCTTAGAAATCTCCCAGCCAACCTCCTAGTTAGGTGCAATCCAGCTGAAACGTGTGGGGTTTTGTGCGGTTCTGCATAATGACACAAGTACAGAGCCGCGCAGGAGGGTCGGGTCCAGCATTGCAGAACAAGGGGAGAGCTGAGTAGGTGTTTGTTAAAGCAATGCAATAAAGCAGAGTTCAGTTTCCATGGCTCATGCTGACTTGTATGGCTTAGGATGAATCAAGATAAGAATCAAAATCTTCTGAAGGTAAGAAGAAACCTCTTAGGTTTTGATTTTCAGAATTAATGCGATGGGCTGCAGTGCACGCATTTCCTAGAGCTGATTTGTGCAAGCACAATGGGTATTTAGCATTACTGCATGACACACAAAAACTTCATGGAGCAGCTCCCCAAAGTCATAGTGTTTCTGCTTTCTTTAGAAGAGAGAATTTTAAAAGCATTTTGGCTTTACTGTAGCATGCGCCTTCATATTACAAAAACCGGAATTGCATGATGTGCATAGTGTACAGTGCAACAAAATACCTTGATTTTTATTTCATCCAACCACAGAAAATAAATAGTGAATAATTTCGTTCTCTAACAAAGCAGGTTTTTATAAAATGGGAACTGATGTTTCTCTAAGGAAATGTTTGGTTAGATAACCAAGTATTAGCTCAGTAGTAGTAAGAGAAATTCTGTTCTTACAGAATTTTAAATCATTTCAGTTTCTTTATGGCAGGAACTTTGCCTGCCTCTGAGACTAGCATATTGAAACGTTGATCTGAAAAGATGCCTCTGACACATGTCATAATAATATGACAGAATGGCAGGATTTGGGAAGTTTAGAAATGACTCAACTTTATCTTAGTCATCCAATTTATAAACCAAAACTAGTAAGCAATGAATGACAGCTTGCCAGGTTAGTCTGTGTTGAAACCCTGAGCCTTTACAGATTTACTTTTCATTAATATTTTTGTACTGTGTGTTTTGTTTGTGCAGCTAATACTAAAGGTCGGGTGTTAAACCAATTCACATGAATTTGTGGCCACATGAAATGATAATCTTGAGTGGGTTGATCTGTCCTCCTGTTCTTGAAAAATAAATTCCTAACCTTTTATATGTAGGACTTGTTTTCTGATTTTGGCCATTCAGCATCAAATGCAGAAGAAATTATTCATCCTTCGGTGGCAGTTTAAGCAAAGCTGTTGGATCTTCTAAACTTGTTTTCTTCCAGTTGCTTATTTTAATAGTACTTTTTAGGAGGATATAGTAAGGGCATCGCCAGAGCAGGCTATTCTGTTTAATTCTTGTTGATATAGTTTGCACGGATGTTTTCCAGGATGTGCCTATGATTTTCAGCTGCTCCTTTGTTACTCCATTAGATCTGAAATAGAGATTTAAGAATTAACCCTGTGGTGTGGTCTGCAAATATTGGTCTAATTAGAATCATGTGCATTTTTCACTGTATTTATTGTGTCTTGACGTTGTCTTTCTGAGGCAAACTATTAGTTTCAAAATATTCAAAGGAGATGTTCTTGCATTTTGAGTTTTGTGGGGGATTTTTTTGGAAGGCTGTCACAGATCCCCCAGTTCCTTCCTGCTACAGGAGGATGCCCTCCTCCTGCCCTCTCCCTCTGTAGTGCACCCGAGCAGTGGGTTGGTGTACAAGGAAAGACCTTCTGTTCCGGAGGATTTCGCTGCGTTCCTGTGTTCTGATGGTCCATTTTCTCTGAAAACACCTTGAACTCCTGCCAGCTCAACGTTTGCTGTAGATGTATGCATCTGTATCTAATCATCAGAGCCGGAGCAGGACAATTTGCAGAGCCACTTTGGTGAGGGCAGTGTATGAAACGGATGTTGGCAGAGCAGTTCAGTCACTGGAGACTTGGCTTTGCAGTTTCCAGTGTGTGAGCTATGAGAAGCTAAATGCCTTCTACAGACTGGGGCTTTCCTTTTTGCAAGGGTAATGCAATGCCCCTTGTTTCCAGCTTTCTCATAGGGCTGTAGGGATGAACAGGATAAAATGTGCTGTTGAATAAAACAAAAGCCATATTTAACAGCAGAATATTTATTAATAGTGACTATATGGTGTATCCAATAAAAAGGTATAAATTATGCATCTCTTTAACAGCAGAATATTTATTAATAGTGAATAGTGACTATATGGTGTCAAGAACACCAAGGTATTTATTGGATAATAAAAAGGTATAAATTATGCATCTCCTTTCCTTTGTGAATGACAGGAATACTGATTGCTATTTTGGTAATTAAGACTGATTTTTGTTAGCTGACTTAGATTCAAAGCTCAATGTAGAGGTTCTTTTTGGAATATATTTCTATACCCTAACAACTTTTGCTTGGTTGGGGTCTCTGGTCTTTGGTGCAAGGCCAGCAATTAGTACTTCCATTAGCCATTCCCCAGTGATGGTCATTTGCTGTGTTCCAGGAAACTCCTTTTAGTTCAGGTGGTTTGGGCATGATTTCCAGGAAACCGCAAGCAAGAAGCAGTGAAGGCAAAAGATGATAATGCTCTTTTATGGTGTTTGTGAAATTAAGGTGTCTCTGTCCTCTGAGCAGATACTCCTCTGAGCAGATTGTAGAAAAGTATAGTAGGCTGCTTCAGTTTGAAACTGGAGTAGTGGCAGAACCACTTGGAGGCTTTGCCTCATCTGAGCTGCAACTTTACAGCCACGGAGCTAACCACAGAGAAGCCTGCGAGTGTCTGTAAAGGATGTATTCTGTAACATTTCATTAAACTGTACTTATCTTTAGAGCCTCTCTTCTGTCCTATTCCTTACCAAACAATTGCAAGAAAATATTGAATATTAAAAACCAGTTTGGGTTGGCCCATGGCTCTCTCTGCCTATTTTGCATCCTGACCTTGTTCCTTTGCCCCTTCATGTCGCGTCATTCCACACAGGAAGCGAATGAACAGCTTAGCTTCATAAGTCAGGAAGATCTGCAGGATTGCTGTGCAGAAACTCGTTTTGACACAGTACAGAACTTAAGATTATATTGAAGCCGTGACAATGTGAATGAGTTGAATATTGTAAAGCTTAATTGTTTATCTTGGAATCTAACTAACTGTTGGTTACTGGTAGATTTGTTTGAAGGCAGTACCATTAGAGAGAGGCTCTGCTGTAATTTCACAGAATAAGCAAAAGATAACATTTCTGTACAAGTACAGTAATTTAGAATAGAATGTGCTAAGGTTTCTCAGAATATTGAATTAGTAGATAAAATGGTTTTATGATGATAATATGTACTAGTCTGCTAGTTGCATTTGTTGTATATTATGTATGGAAGAGGGGGGCTGCTTGCTAGCCCAAAACAGCTGAAAATTATAAATTTTGCTTTTTGGGCAGTCATTCACTCTGTCATCTATATTTACCACAACTATGTACTCTTGGTGTTCTTGAGCCTTTTCTGAATGCAAGGTATGGCCATGGGAACAGCCCTGAATGTTCATATTCAGCAGTATGCAGGAATGAGACCTGATGAGGAATGTCAAAGGCTAGGGTGACGGGCTGCGCTGCTCTAACCGTTCGCCTGTTTTTCTGCTCGTTGCCCGAGGAAGCTCCTGCTCCTCCTTTTCCCAGGCAGATGCATTTTCATGCAGCTGGGGAGGGTGCCAGTGGTGCCACTCCCGTGGGCTGGAGGGATTGTCACTAACCTGCAGGCCTTCAAGGCCTTGCCATGGATGGTAAGCAAACCTGCATGTGTCATGGTAAAGCTGAGCTCACCTCAGGATCTTCAAAAGTCTCTTTAAGAGCCGGGGCCGCCTGTGCGGCGGCAGCCTCGGCGCTGCAGGCCGTGTGCTGTGCCCACGTAGACTGAGGCTGTTTGAGAAGTCGCTGTCCTGGCGCCTCGTCTCCTTTCTGCTGCTCGTGTCCAAATGCAGATCCTCTGCGGCCAGCTGTGGGGGAATTGGCTCTCCCTGTCCCATGCTGTTTTGACCTCTTGACCATCATTAAAATTTAATAGCTGACTGTTTCCTTTGGCAGGTGTGCTATGAAACTTCTGGTAGGTGAGGAGGCAGAAATGCTGGAGTCAAACATGGAAGAAAAAAACAAAACAAAAGAAAAAAAATAACCCAAAACAGCAGTGTTCCTACTCTAAAAGCCTGAAAACAAAACAAAAAAAAACCCAAAACAGCAGTTTTCCTACTCTAAAAGCCTACTAGAGCTTCTGAGTTGTACTGAGCTTCTTCACACTGACACATTCTTCTTTTATTTATTCTTACTGTTAGATTCTCTCCCTCCCCCTGCCTGTGGCAGAAAATTTCCCTTGCAGGTTTTTCCAGGTGTCATGCCTTGTTTGTGCAAGACTGAGCCCCCCTGGTCTGCGTAGAACAGCCTGTCTCCTGCCTGTAAGTAGTTTGGGGCAGGGAGAGTCATGACTGCAGCCTGCCTGAACAGAATGCACTTTTTAGCTTTATTAAAGTACAGCAAGCAAGCTAATAATAACCCTTACATGTTATGAAATATCCTCAAGCCAGTGAGTTATTTTCCTGATGTTCCACTGAACAGTGCACGTATGTGAGTGGTCATGCTGTCTGTTCAGGCAAACAGCACGAGAGGCCTCTGTATGTGAGCCATACCGTTTGTGCTAGTGGAAAAGAAAGTCATACAGATTCCTCTCCTGTGTAGGTGGTTTTTTTCTTCCATGGCATCGTTTCTGTCTGTCTTAGCCTTAATTTTCTTCCAAGCAAAATTTGAATCTCCTTGTGGTATTTGAAAGTTATAGATGCGTGGTGTGTTTGCTGTTGGAAGACTCATTGTGCACCAGTGGTACTTTAAATTCACAGTATCTGTAACAGCTGATGATGGGCTCTCCCTGGGCGTTTGTAGTACTCTTTGTTGATTTGGGGGCTTGTAACATTCAAAAAGTAGTTTTGTTTTTTTTGCCTTTTTTCACTGTGCTTTAGCATTTCTGTGTGGGAAGATGAAAGACAAATGGAGGCAGGCAGGGTAATCCAGTGCGACAGCCCCAGTTTTCAGCTTTACAGAGGCCCCAAAAGAAAGGGAGAGGAGGACCCCACAAGCGTGAACCAGCATTTCTATTTTTATTTTGTTATTCAAGCAATGTACTTCACTGGGTTTTATCAGTTCATTTGCAAATTGAGTTTGATTTTTCTCAGCCTTCATTTAGACTTCTAATTTGCCATAATGTAATTTGAAAGTATAATCGGATCTGTTTTGTATAGGTCGTCCTAAGGCTTGCAGGTCTCTTTGGCCTTAGGAAAATGTGATGCCTAAGGAAGGGAAGGTAGGATTTTATTGGTGGCAGTCAAGGGGATCCAACTTTGCAGATTCAGGCCAGGATAAAGGCCAAGTGCTGCTGCGTATTTAAGTGTGCCCGATAAAGAACTGGACATTTGATATTTTTGATCAAGACACTTGAAGCTTTTAAAATTCAGTCTTAGCGATGCCCTCTGCTGGTTTTTTAAATCCTTTCGTTGGTTTCAGGTCTGTGGCTGCTTATTTTATGTGACCTGGTACGGCTGTTACCTTCTTTTTCTCCTTGGAACTGGTACAGTCTGTTTATTGAGTAGTCTACTTTTTGCATGCTTGTTCCGACTTTGCAAAGAAAATAAATGAAGTCCAAGCAATAATTGATAGCAATTGGAGGGACATACACTTCATACAGTCTAACGTTATGTGCTCTTACTCATAAGCACCCCCTGGACACATAACTCTTCTTACTGTTTTTACTGTTATGTACTTGCTAGATTATTAAGATAGGGTTTTTGGGTTACAAGGCTATGTGGCATTGGTTGGGGTTTAATCATTTATTTATTGTTAGTAAAGAATTTCAGAGCAAGTGAAATAGTAATGCATGCAGAATATGAAGAATTATGTGTATTTTGTAAGATTTTTTATAAGAACACATTTAATTTTAGTTGGATGTTTACTCAGTCACATACTAGAGTATAGTGATGTACAACAAAAAATTATTTAAATTAGAGGTTGGGGGTAGCCGCATTTTTCAATTTTACTCTAAGAAAGTGAAGTTTTGTTTTAGCTGATAAATAAGGATTGATGCTTGGAAGGGAAAAAACCCCAAAACACTATGACTGTGCTGAGCTGTCCTCTAGGTAAGGAGGTGACTGACTTACCTGGGGCCTTTACAGCATGCAGCGATAAAGACAGGGCTGTCGAGGCTGGTGCGGTGTCTTCACGCAGTGTGCTGCTGGCCGCGTGTGGGGAAGAGCATTAGCAGGGTTTTCTTTATGGCAGTGATATGAGGATTATCTTTGAAGCACTGTAAAGGTGCCTGTGGGAATACTTTATTGTTATTGTTTCTGAAAGTTATTATTTCCCTTTTTATTGCCAGTCTGTTAGTTCCTCTTCTAGGTAATGCTTATGTCCTGTTACTTTTTTCTTATGCCTGAAGTTTTATCTGGTATTGTCCGCAAACCTTTTATTTACTTATTTTATTTCCACTTTCTCTATGCTTTTGTAATTCTGCTAAACTTAATTCACATTCTTTTGCTGGTTTCAGGTTTGTGACTGTTGTTATACTTTCCTCATTGTTATCAACTGGTCCTTTTATTATCAACTTTTTTTTGAGCCAGGAGAGACGGACTATGCTACTAACCTCTGTTGTTTGAATAGTGTTTTATTACCAATGAAAGCTGAAAAAGCCTTCAGTATCTTCTGGGGACTTTAAAAACCTTGTTTCTGCAAAAGAGTAGTGTGCTAAAGGGTGTTACCCTTTCCTTGGAGATGTAAATCAGAATAACTGTTTTTGCCTGCTTCAATCAGGCAATTTGAAGAGAAGTTATTCCCTTGGATCCACTATCCTCTCCCGAGTAGTTAGAAATGGAGCTGATACTGCCTAGCTGTTCTGCAGAGGGACTACAACTAGGGAAGTTGTGTTAAGCTTTGTTTCAGTGTTTTGGCTTAGTAACAAGTCTGGTAATACCCTGAGCGTGACCGCTTTTTACGAGTTAAGCGCGGCGTCGCGGCGTTGCCCATCGTAAGTTGGGCTGTTGACCTAATACATAACAGCTTGGACCTTCCACAGGCAGGAGGAGAATGTCTGAAATTAAAACTTGGCAGTATTTGTGGATCCTTTCGCTGTTTATGGCACCTATCCATCCTTAGTTTTATGATGAAAATTTTCCCTGTCATAAGCAATTTGGAGAAAATACTATATGCTATATTGTTAACATTTGCTTTATGGTTGTAAATAACGAGTTTAATGCATATGACTGCAGTTATATAGAATGAATAGGGCGATTAATGTTTACTGACAATTTTTGTTGAAGCAATGAAATGCTGCTGATGAAGGAAACTTTCTACCTGGTCCCCCTTACCCCATACTCCCCCTCAGGACTTCTGATGGTGGGAAGACAGTTGGTACCATTGAAGTCAATCTTGTGAAGATGGGAGAGATAGAGGATGGAGAAGCAGACCATGCCACAACAGATGCACAGGATCAAAAGGTAGGACTTCAGTCACTTCATTGCATGAAGTAAATTATAATCATCAGCTGTGCCAGATGTGCTACTAATACCACTCTGGGGTTTAAGTGCATGTTTTTCAAAAATTTCTGAAATAAAATGCCACATGCACTCTTCTCTTTAAACTAAAAATACTCTTGCATGAAAATGTACAAAGCAATACTCTATTCTCAGTTCCTACTCCCTCTTCTTTCCTAGAACAAAAGAGCTCTTTTTAACTTCAACTGATCATACTTAATCACTCCTGATCAACATACTGTCCACAGAGACACCATAAATCTGATTTCTTTTTCCCTTGGACAGTTCCTCTGTTTTCTGCCCTTGAAGTCCCGTCCACGTGGATTTTTGTTAAGCGCAACCTGTGCCCACAATACTGAAAACCTGGACAGAGTGACAGACAGGCGAGCCAAAGAAGAGGTGAATCCCCCTTGCAGAAGGGCAGGTTCATCAGTGTTTCATGGGGCACACAGTGGTGGGGCAAGTAGCTGGGGATGGCAGCAGAGTGCTAGAGGAGGGCAGCACTGAGCTGCAGGGTTGTGCAGGGACATGTGGGGCTGGGTGCTTAAGGTGTGGGGTGAGGGGGCTGGAAGGAGCAAGATGCTTGGTGGTAGGGAAGCCCCTGCAGGCAGAAATGGTGGAGACTTGAGGGAGGAATGATGTGGGGCAGAAGCACTTCGGGAGGAGTGAGGGAAAGTGGAGAATGAGTGGAAAAGATGAGCTGGGGCAGGAACCAGAAGTGACGGCCTCAAATGAGTAATCAGGGGCTAATGGTTTACAGCTAATCAAAAGTCTCTTGACCTGGGTCCCTGATGTAATGGAGACTGATCTTCCGGTACAGAGTTATCTCCTCCTGATGTTTCCATCTTTGTACCCACGTTCTTAGACAGAAATGGGCCACTACCAAAGCATCTGATGAACACTGAAATCCTGCTCGTTTGATGCTGTAAAACTACCCCAAGATATAGAACGTGAGCTGTTGATCTAGACTTGTTTTATGGTCTGCTTTTCTTTCACTTAGAACAGTTGCATCTCAAACCACAGAATGGGTCTCATCCCACATTGCATCTCTTGCACAGTTATCTGAGATGTAATTCATGAACTGTCTCTAGCACAGTTGAATTCTGTTGTTAGTGACATCTTTCTTGGGGATTCGAATAATTGTCAAAAAGGGTTTAAAAAAACCCCAACACAATCTGCTTGATACCGGTATTTTCTGTGGTCTTTATAGTTCTCAGTTTTTATAAATAAGTTGCATCACGGTATTTTAAGAGTCTTAATTTGTACATTTGTAGCAAGGATGTAATTTCTGGCTACAGTCCCAAGAAGCAATTGTGAGGATGTGGTGCTATTGAATTACTCCAAAGAAGTAAGTTCTGAATTAGGTTTGCTACATCTATAGGCAAGCCACACACCGGGAATTACTCGGAGTAAGTTGATGGTTAAATTTGATCCGAGATGTGGTTTGCTGGAGAATGTCATGTCTCACTCTGCTTCACGCTCTACAGCAGAATGTCTAGAAATTGTGAGAGCCCTGGGAACACGGTTCCCCATCACTGAGACATGCTCTGTGTTGTGGGAGATTTGGGATTTTTTTGTTGTTGCTCTTGTGTTTTTTGTTTGCTCTGGAAGGATTTTGAAAAGATTGCAGTCCTAGTACGTGGATGTAAACCAGATATTTTTCCATAACACTCTCCAACAGTTTATGATGGAAAAAAAGGCTAATCTCATCACAGAAGTCTTCAGGTTCACTTGCATAACAAATTACCTGATCACAAACTGCAAAGACATTTTAAAGATTATTTTTGTGGTCTCTACCTTTTCTTTATTTAAAATCTAATGGACTGTTTTCTGACTCTGTGCCTCTGAAGAAGGCCTTGTTGAAAGAAATCCCTGTGAAACCACAGAATGTGTCATTCATTATGGAGTAGATGGTCATGTTTTGCCTTCCCCCCCAAGTAATTCTGCATGTGTTAGTCTATTGGAACAGAAATATAAAGAGAAAAATGTCATAACTTTCCAATTTTATCTTTAATTATCAGTGATGTTCTTCAGCCTGACATATATAAGCAACTTTGTATTTCTTTATAATACTTGACTATGTAAAAGTTTTTGCATTTCTTTTGTAGTGTGCATTGGTTCGTGAATGTACAGCCCCTGAAGGCATGAGTGGTAAAGACAGCTTGCCTTTACTAAATGCGGGTAGGTGTTCTGTTGGACAGCTGTAACGCTCAAAAAATAGTGCATCACTTAGAGGGATTTAAGTTTAATATTTTATTGTGCTTTGCATGCTTGCTTTGTTTTCAGAAATGTGAACTGTTATTTCTGAAGTGCTGCTCAATTCTCCCACTCCTGCAGACAGTGACTTTAGAGGGCATGGAATTAGCCTTCTAAGTTTGTTGTGTTGTTATATGGCCTGCTCAGTGAAATTGTGCATTATTTGTAGTTGGATACTGGAGAATTCATCTCTTTCCAAGCTGGTGCTGTGGGAATTTGTTTGATCTGAAAGCTATGTGCCTCAGAATGTAGGAAGCAGTTGGCAAGGCGTTCACAGTTCTAGGTCAGCCCTAAAACTGTAGGCTTGAGTGTACAGTTTTGAACTAGATCTATTTCTTTTTACTGAGAGAAAAAATACATGCTGATATACAGCATCCTAAAAGTTTTATTAGGCTAAGTTTATGAATCTCCATTACTCTGCAGTCACAAATAAGTTACGTGGGTCATCTGAAACCGCAGCGCTGTCAGGAATTCTGTGTATGTGCTGCAATACACTTCAGGAGAAAGCTACTGACGTTCAAGAAACTTCAAAAAAAGACTGGGTGGGAAGCAGGGAACACACTCTTGAATAAAGCTGCCATTTTTTTCCATTGATTCACTGGGAGACTAGATATATTTGTGGAAAAAAAAATTCATTGTGGATTACTAAATGCACAGGAACTACATGTGACTCAGGAAATCCCTGAACTGAAAATAGCTGGAGGCAAGGAGAGTGTCTTGGATGTTTGTCCTGTTATCTTCTCTAGGTAGCTATTTATGGTCATGGTTAGAGACAAGATAAGGAGCTAGTCGAATGCTTTGGTCTGAGTATATCTGCTGTTTTAGTCTGATTCTCTATGGTATCAAGAGAAGTGGGTCTTAAAATAACATTCAGAGAAAAATGTTACTTCTGTTGGGCTTCTGTTCTGTCTGTAGCTGGAGGAATGTTTTGAAACTTACTTTTAAGATGGCCAGTTTGTTGGAACTTTTGAAGTAGAATGGCAGCATAATAAAATTGAGGTCACTTTCTCAAGAGTGCTTGAATGATTTATCTTGTGATTCAATGGTATATGTAGACTGCACTCGACAGATCTCTGTTTATTTTTTCATATAGAGGGATAGCTCTAGTCTGACCAACATTGCTGTGATTTAAGAAATCAAACATGCAAAAGTTTATTTAAAAAAGAAAAAAAAAGAAAAAAAAAGGAAGAAAAACCCCACACGCTGGGGGGACAGAATTGCAGACGTGTCTGAGAAAGGACAGAACACAGGATATTGGAAAGATTTTTCAGTCCCAAACACTTTAAGGAAGTTTGTTCTAATAAGTACTTATTCTTGAATCTACTTCCTGTGCTTGTGACTTCCTCTCCTCACCCATTCTGTTTCCATTTCCCTCCTGACACCTGGCTCCACTTCCAGGCATCAGACTTTGTCCTACTTTTTCCTCTGAATTCCAAGTCCCTTTTTCTAGGAAATTTTACCTCTCCTTCTACATTCCCAGCCTCCTTACCCAGCCAAGCTTCTCTGCCAGCATATCATCTTGACTGGTCTTCCTTTGGATTAAATGTCTCCACCTTGCCTGGAGACTGGCTTGAGTAAAGGTGCCAGTGCCCTTATGCAACACTGCACTCCATGTTAGTGCTTTTCAGGAGTGTGTTCAGCTACTTACTAGGAGAGGCCCTACATAGTCCAGCCAGTGGTAGACATTGGGAATAACAGGAATAACGCAAGTGTTTTCAGGAAAAAAAAAAAGTGAAGCCTTTAAATAATATAAGGTAAGCCTTTAAATAATACAAGGTAAGGTAACTTTCCAAATATCCTTAGTCTGATCCAGGCCATTTCAGTGTGGCAAAATTACAAGCAATCAAAAACAAGAACTTAAGGGAAAAGAGGGACATTCAAACAATGCAGTAAAAGTTGGTGTTACCAATTTGCCTTAATATACATTGCCTGCACTTACTTTCCCTGTTGGGTACAGAGCTATCTAGAGGGCAGTATATACATATGTGCATAGTATACTGCAGTAAAAGATTTTTGGTTCACTCTAGCTCATGTAGTTTATCAGATCTTCAAACCGAGGAGACTGAAAAATCCCCCACATGGATCTTAAAGCCTGTAGGCATCGAGGCACATTGGCATTCCTTTAAAAACCTGAATTTTAATATAAGACTTTTGCAGCCCTCCGGTGAGTTGTGAGGGACTTAGTGTGTGGGAATGAGTATCATATCTCGTAAGGGCTTATCGCTATTCCACTTGTACCTCAAGAGATCGAATTTATGTGTCTCAAAATTCAGTTATTTATTTATAGTACTGGAAAATTTGCCCATTCTTTTCATGAAGTTATTGCCCCTACAATAAAAAAGCAGGCAAGACTGACTGCAGCTAAGCAAGAATGAAGAAATTTGGAGCTCTCCTTCCTGAGATGATATACATAATATTTCTATGTTACAAAGTAAGTTAGAAATGCTATTAGTAAATTAGTATATGACAGCCATATGCTTTGATCTTTGCTGGATAGGGAATAAAATGAAAACAGGGTATTCAATCTTTTATTATTATGTTTTTTATCCTGCTTGCAGGAGAAGCAGTGTGAAGGATATTGCATGGAATAAAAGCACAGGTGTCTTTAAACTGAAAAACAAGAATGCCCCAAAATGTGGATAGTTTAACATATAGCATTAGCTTCGGGGATTCACTCTATAGAGAAAGGCTTTTAAAATCAGTATTTTGCATTTTAGTGACAGCAGTTCATCTGGAATTGCTTTTCTGCAACACCTGTCATGGTTTTGCTGTCCAAATACAGGAAGGGTTGCACTTCTGAAACTTTCCCCTAGTTTAGTAATTGCTTTTTATAAAAGCCAAATCTTGTCTTGCCATTCTTACTACTTGGGTGCTTTTACATGCCTTCTGGGTCTCTGTCTTTTTTTAAGCAACTTCAAGTTCTTGTTGTAATTAGAAAGAAAAATACATTTGAGATTTTTATGGGATCGTGACTTCAGTAGTTGTGTGTATAAGAAAAACCCAAAGTATTGTGTAGTTCTTACCAAAAATATCAAAGTTTAGTAATATTGCTAGTAGGAATTACTTGCATTCCTTCTGGAAATACAATTCCCACACTTTTTTTTTTCTTAGCTAATAAGTTTTCTTTGTGAACCCACAGAACTGGCCTTCTGGCCATTTGTTAATAAAATAACTCGTTTGGCATAGTCCCAGTGTGAAATCTCAGGATCCGAGGTAGTACCTTCCATTAGCTAATGGGTAACTTAATAGTATTAGTAATGCTAAAAGCCACAAATTTGCATCCAGATTTTCAGAGTAAGACCTAGTCGTTCCTTGCTGTTATGCTGCAGTACTTCTGCTTTTGGATAGTTTTTTTTTTTATTGGTGATGGTGAGGGAAGGGGAAGCAGGAGGAAGGAGATTGTGCAGCTCCAGTATTTGTATACGCTGAGCAGCTAACCAGTTTCCATTCAGTTCTCAGTAATGCAAGTGTTTTGAGTGCAACAGATTGAATAAAATTTTAAATTTTAGTGGACACTAGTTAGGGCTGTGGTATGAAGATTTTTCAAGCTGTAAAATACATGTAGTGACGTTTGAACATTGGTATTCTAGGTGCTGGTATGAATAGCAGCAATTTGTGTTCATTATGTGACAGCTAATCATGTATTAGGCTTACCTCATAAAAGTGAGTCAGAATTTATTTTTTGCAAGGAAACTTACTAAAAAAATGAAGTAAGGTGACTCTGGGAAGACTTCAGGTTGCTCATATAAAAAATGAATGATGAAATAGTTCTCAGAAGAAACACAGGAATAGGAAAACAGGCATCAGCAGTTACTTAAACACCAATATTCACAGCATTGGTGTTTTTATGTATTGCTAGCAGCCGTTTTGTTACAGCTCTCTCTGAGCTGTCTCCTGTGCAGCTCTCGTCTCCTGTTCCAAACCCCCTGGGTTAGGTTGGCAAGGCCACGTGCCCGCCTTGGGCAGCGGGTGCGTGTTCGGCCTGGCCTCGACGCGGCCCCAAGGAGAGGTAGCGGGGCCGCGAGGCAGGTTGGAACCGCCGCCCGCGCATGTCTCTGCCATGGCAGCTCCTGTTGGAGGTCACAGTGGATCTCACAGCTTGTGCCCTCACACTGCGAGGAAGGTGGTGGTGGGGCCTGGGGAGCCCCAGCTCCAGTCACTCGGAGTGAGGAGGCGCGAGGGCTGCGTCTGCTCCATGACGGGCGCCTGTGTGCCGGTGTGGTGAGTGGTGCAGTCAAGGGGAGTGCTGCTTTCCCAGCTTGTTCCACTGTGTGTGCCCTCTGGAAAATCAGTGAAAGTTAGAGAGCATCTTTACAAGCATTTGTTGAAAAGCCAGCATGTGAGAGCTCTGGGTTGAAAAACATCATGTGTTCAGCAAAATCTTCCAAGACATTTAGCCTCTTGGTTTTCATATGTCAAGCTAAAATAGTGATCTGGCAAGGGAGTAGGTAACAGGCTTTAGGACTCTTGCATTTATTTCTCTGAAGTGGGAATCTCTTGATCATGACAGTGGTCCCATTTTCTTTAATCTATTTGTATTAATGATGGCTATGTGCCCTTGTTGTGGGGATGTTGGATACATCTAAGCTATATGAGCTACGTGACAAGCTTCACTTGCCCCCCGCTATTAATAATATATGAAAGATTTTAGCACATGGTAAAATGTGGTGTTGATTGTATGCTAGATCACTGTTTATTTGTGTGTTTGTTTATTCCTAACTTTATCTCAAGTTTTTATTTTCATTCTTACTGCACTGGGCTGCTAAATTCACATGATACCTACTGTGCTGGTTAAATGTGACTTACCTACTGCATTAGTAATATTTAGCCCATGATAGTTGTCATAAATAGAATTTGTAGTAAATATAATTTAATGTTTTTTATAGAATTCAAACATTTTGAAAATTAATCTTCGAAATGGGAGAGAGAGGCATTTGGATGAAATTGTCCTACGTTTTTCAAAGAGGTATATAATCACTTAAGCAATGATGTAATTTTTCCTCTCTGCAGTATTAAAAAACCCAATCTGCAAGTTATACAGATTCCCTACTTCTGACAACAAGTGGATGCAGATCCGAGAGCAAATGGCTGAGTCTGCGCTGTCTTTCCATGTTCCCAAAGAACTGATCAATCTGCACATCAAGGAGGACATGAGAAGGTAAGAAAGAAAAGCAAACAAACAAAAAAGTACCAATGGTAAATACTGGCTTTAGTTGGAATCCTCTATGTTGTGAACTAAAAATGTTGAATTTTACTGTGAAATGCAAGAAAAAGGTAGTAATTTTGGTTGAGCATTCACAGCTTATAGCTAAACAGCAGAACTGGTTGCTCAGTGTTTGAGACATCAGCGACTTCATAAATTCTGAGGAACAAATTGTACCAAATCCAGTCATTACTTTAAATATGTAAGATTAAATATTCTGAAAAGTTAACATTTTATAAAGAAGCAACACTTTACAAGGGTCTGAACTGCATTGTGCTTGGCATCATGCCTCAGTGGACAAGTAAGTATTGTGCAAGCAGTAAGAACTAACATGGTTGTAGCTTGTAAAGGTGCAGGAAGAATATAAATCACTTTGCTTTTGTTCATTTGGATTAGCTGACATAAGAAAAGGATACCCAAGTAATGCATGTTCTAATGTTTTGCTCGTGTCCTTGCAATCAGGTAGAACATCTGAGGATCATCACAGTGTATAGCCAGAGAAAGAGAGGGTAGGAAGCAGTAGTGGTGTTAGACCTTTTGGCTCTCTCCATTCCTGGTGCAGGGAGATAAAATGGAGCCTGCCCTTCAATGAAGCCTGTGACTTCTGATGCAACTGGGAGGGTGAAAAGGCAAAAACTGAAGCAGCCCAGGGCTTCCTTAAAAGCATGCCTGCTTCTCCAGTGGTAGTAGATGGTCTAGAAAGCACTACTCTCTCCCTATGAGCCTTGCCTCTCATAGGCAGGCAGCTGGGCTCATCAGGAGCACTGTGAGCTAATGCTGCATCCCAAAGCTATCCTGTGTCCTTGCTCTCTTTAGCAGCCCATCAGAGGAGGTGCCTGTGGTTGTTGGTCCTCCAACAGGGCCCTTTTTTTTTTTCCCTTTTTATTCATCCCATCTGCCACTTCTATATCATCTTTTTATGCCAATAGAACAGCATGCAGGGGACCAGAATCTTGCTTTTTAATAAAGTCAATGGACTGACACGTACTTATGTGTAGTGACGATGTGTTATAAAAATCGTATGTGAATTGGTGTAATACTTTTTTCATTTAATATGGTATTTAGGCTTTTATGGCCTTATCTTGTTTTAAAACACTAACATGTAAGTTTTCAGTAAGCAATAAAAATAGATTATGTTGACTGCACAGTTCATCCACTTCCCCAATTTTCATTCATCCCCTGGGTAGATGCATTTTTAAATGTTAGGAAATTGCTTTAACCATCATTATTTCTTGTGCATTATTATGCCCAAAGCTGCAATGGGGCCTGTAGGTTTTGTCTTGAGCATTCAACACACCTTATTCTGTAAAACAACTGTAAGGATGTGTGCTCTTGCAGACTGCTTGCATTTGTGAAATAGTAAAATGACCCTTGAGGAATATTGTCCTGTTATTTCTTAGACTTGTAGAAAAACTTACCCAGTGCCATTTTGATTGTTTTCTTCCTTGAAATGTTATTCTCCTGACTTCCCCCCCCTCCCCGCTCCTGTTAGTGTAAAAGAATAATGGATTTTTATCTCGGAAGCCGTTCTTTATCATCCTCACCATGTTTGATTTTATTTCTGTTGGGGCTTCAGTATAGTCCATTCGGAAACAATTAACTATGAAAAGTATCCAAATGCAATAGTAGTTACCCGAGTATTGTGTTTTAAATGGCGTATGAAATTGCTTTTTCTCATAGCTCTAAAGATTGGTTACCTGTTGACAAAACTACAGCAGTCATTGTTAACCAAACTCTTGTGTTTTCTATTTTGATCCTCTGAAATATGTAACCTCAGAGGATATTTAACTTTGCTCATGTTTTTCAATATGAAATGTCTGTCAAGCTATGCATTAATATGAAAATATGTATAACTTTATCCTTCAAACCTCCATGGAAAACATTTTAGTTGGGGCTGTACCATTGTTCTGATGTTCTAATAAGGGCTATACAGTCTGCTTTGTTGTATTTAACTACAAAGTTATTTCAGTTTTCTTTCCAAGATTTTCCAAAGGGTCTCTCTTTCCCCCTGTTTCTAGTATATCTTTAGCCAGAATTTGTCCGGATTTCCAAGATTTTCCAAAGGGTCTCTCTTCCCCCCTGTATCTTTAGCCAGAATTTGTCCAGATTTTTTTTTCTCTACAATGCAAGACTAGGGAAGTAGTTTGTCAAACCTAATGCTTATAAAAATAAAAAAGACAAATTATTTGCAGTAAGTTATTCAGAAACTTTGTGAGACCGTATAATCTTTGTAATTGCAGATGCAACTTGTAAGGCCCTAGGTGAGTGGAGCAAGGCACCCGGATGCTTTAGTGGAAGCTGCTGTACGAGCATGTCTCAGGGTATTGCTAAAATGCTTTTTGGTCCCTTGGGACCATGCTCAGCTTTGGCTTACGGGAAATTCCACCTGCTGATGGCCAAATTAGGCCCGTGACATTTGTGGTCACAATCCATAAATAAATATCTAAAATAAATACTCAGCTTCCACTGAACCCTTTTTCCAGCGTGTGGCTTTCCTCCTGTGTCAGGCACTCCTGTGCAGTCCCAACTCACGTCTCCTTTTCTTGTGCAATGGTTGCTGTGGTTGGTGCAGTAGAGATGGCACAGCCCCTTTGTGTCTCTTCATGATCCTTTCTTGTAGCAAACCAGAATGAGATTAAATTGAGACCGTTTGAGAGCTGTGGGTTTTTTGGTAATCTTTTAATACACAGCTGTCTTAGAGAAATGGAGACCCCAGCAGAAATGCTACATGTCGGGGACAGGCATTGATTTTCTTGAACTTGGCGTAATATGTTTTAGGTGACTTATTTTTGAGCAACTGCCTTGCAAACACGCTGTGCTGTGAAACCATGGGAGTAGAGTGAAAGGGGAATGCTGAAAAAATGAATCACAACTTCTTAAGCTATTTGAACACACATTTTAGGCAAATTTTAGACTCCCTGGTTTCTCCCCGCATTCAACATTACTAACTGTCATACTATTTATTTTTTAAAGGATAATTTTTTAAAAGGTAGTGTGACTTTATTAAAGTGTAATATAGGAACACTATATAATTCTCAATACTCTTGATTTCACTGTTAATTTTTGCAAAATGTGGCCTCTGTGAAAGCCTAAGGACTTTCCTGTCTGACTGAGAGGCAAAAATTTGCCGGACTTAATTTTGTTATTGTTTGTATGAAGTTGTAGTACATTCAAGTGGAGTAACATAGTTCTAACTAATTAACTTTATTATTCAGCAGTGTTGATAGCTATAAAATATTAACTAGGTACTGACTGCCCTTAGACTGTGAGAGTAATAGAACAGGTAAAGGGAAGAAAGCAGTTCTCTTAAATCCATAGTTGATGAAATGTTTCTTAGGAGAAGACTAGAAGAAATTCTAAATTCTATCTATTAAAATCCAGAAAAAGTGGAGCGTGCATGGTATTTTCCCCTGGGACGTTGAGGGTACGAACAGGTTATACATTTTATTTAAATATATATGTGCACACACACACACACAATCACACACAGGAAAGAAGTGTAATAAAAACTTCTCTATTTATATGTATGTGTGTGTGTGTGTATGTATATAAATTTGTATCATTAAGAATGAGTTGTCTTATGAATTAATTAATGTAGAGGAGGCAACAGGAAATGTCTGCCTTCTGGCCATGTGTTTGTATATACCTCTGTTGAAGAAGAGAAACAGGCTTGCATTATTTGGTCCATAGAGGACAGGGGTTTTCCACACCTGGACAGAACTGTTCCTGTCAGGGCTGCTTCTAAAGCCCATGGTGCAGATTCTATGTTGCTTTTTTCTGGGAATTCCAGTTCTCAAAGTTGTCTTCTATGTGTATGCTGAACTAATGTTTACATATTTCTTGTATGGTGCAGTTGAAAACTTACTTGGTAGGTGCTTCAAGCCATAAATTCCTGGTTTAGTTTGGGGTGATTTTCCAAGGATAGCAAGGATAGCTTTCCATCACTTAATTGTTTTTGAAGAGATTTAGATACTATTTTTTAAGAGGAGATATTTTTTATATTTGAGAGATGGGTCTTTACGGTTTGTTTTTGCCATTCTCTGCAAAATCCATTCAGCTTTTAAGACTTCAGTTGTCAAACTGGCTGCTGCTATTTTCCAAGTTCTCCTTGTGCACAGTGTGCCGTGGCCTCTCAGATGTCCATCATGAGTGAATCACCTACCCGCTAGCTCTTGAAGAGCCTCTCAATTGATTGTGAGTAACAGTACAAAACCAAAACAAAAAGTAGCCTTGTTAACAAGGTTATAATTACTTTAACATGCTCAAGTTCCTTCATCACTACTGGCTTTTGAATTTTTACATAGTTAACGAGATTTAGTACTTATCAGCACTTACCTGTGTTTCTGATGGTACTAAGTTGGATATGATTTTGTTGTTTCATGTCAGTGAGATTGCAAAGATTGTAAATTTGAGGTATTGAGGGATTAAGATGAAAAAAACCTTTATACAATTGTATTATGTGATAAAGATCATCCTTGCTCATTTTGAATGAGAGATTGTGATGCATAAATTGAGGGGAAAAAAAAACAAAAAGAAAGCCCCCCAAAGTGTGGATGCTTGAGTAATCATGCATTTAATAATATGGCTAATCTTGCCATGGGTATGAGTCCAGACATAGAGAGAAATGGAGTCATTAATATAAATCCTGAGAGTAAAATATTGCTTCAGCTCTAGCATATAATATAAGCAAGAACGTTCCTTAATTTGACCCAAGCTGACTCCAGTATTTTTTTAATGAAATAGGAAAACAAAAAATATGAATCTAAAATATTTTCATATTCAAAAACATTTAATGCCTAACATCTAAATTCCACAGAAGCCATTCTGAGTGTTACTGAATTTTTAGTCTTTTTGCTGTCATGTGGTTTGGGAGAGTTATCTATTAAATGAGAATCAAGGACTTAACCTCAAATTATGGTGTCTGAAGTTCTGAGTCTTACAAAGATACGCAGGTA